GAAATTGGAGCCATCTGTGGGCCAGCATTTTCATTGATCAAATGACTTTATTCGTTTACATCATTTGCTGACGAATGTGTTCCATCTGAGTCATCCTGGGTATATATGATCTCAGATGGGGTGATGTTCTGGGGGAAAAGGGGACAGCCAGAGTGAAGTTCTGCTTTCTGCCCGTCACAGCCAGAGTGAAGTTGCTGCTTTCTGCCCGTCTTGTGGATAAAAGCTTGTTTCACGCTGTCCTCGAAGTGGTCCCAAATGTTACTTTGACAAAATTGGCCTTGTACATAACAGTAAGGCCCCCCACATCCCTCCTGTGTTTGAAGGCCTCTGCTGAAATGATAGATCTATCCATCTCTCTCCCCCCTGCCTCAGTTTCCCCCTCCCAATATCTCACTCCTTTATCTTTTCCCCCCCTCTCCCTCCCTCCCTCTTTTTCCTTCCTCTCTCCCCCCTTTCCCCTTCCATCTCCGTCTCCCTCTAGCTCCCCCTTTCCCACCCTTTCTCCACTCCCATCACTCTCCCCGTCCCACCTCCCTCCCTCCCCATCTCTCTCCCTCTTCCCATCTCTCTCCCTCTTTCCCCCTCTCTCTCCCTCTCCCCATCTTCTCCCCTTCTCCCCATTTTTCCCCCTCTCTCTCCCTCTCCCCATCTCTCTCCCCCTTAAACCTCCACTCCACACACACAACACACACACACACACACCAACACACACACACACACACACACACACACACCACAACACACACACACACACACACACACATGCACACACACAATTACAACACCTAAACCCCTCCAAAAAAATGGTGGCTCAGAAGGGAAGTTGAAGGCTCATAGGGTCAGAGGAAAATGGTTCTGGTAAGGAAAAATGGATGGAAAAGCAATGTAAAAGCATGTAACAAGAGTGGGAGAGCAAATTAGGTGAGCTTTCTGCAAAAATGGAGAAAAGGATGGAGGCAGAGCTTTCTGCTAAATTGGGAAAGAGGGAGGAGGAGGGGAAAAAGAAATGAGAGTCTAAGTCGAAGTGCAGAAGCCAGGATAGGGGCCCTAGAATGTGAAGTAAATAGGCTGAAGCGAGTTACAGGGCTTTTGCCCTGAGGAGACATAGCATCTGAAGCTGGTATACCCCTAATGAATGAGGAGCCAAACGGAGAGGGAGTAGACAAAACTTACTCTAAGGCTCTATCAGCCCACCAACCAGGGGCCCAAAGGAATGAAGAGGGAGAGCAGTTGGGAGCAGCGATAGTAGTAGGGGAAGGGGGAGAAGGTGGAGAGGGGGATAGGTCAAAGGCAGAGGCATGGCCATGCCATGAAGAGCTACAGGAAAAATAAGGGAGACAATGGCCATGTATAAATGGGATCCAGAGACTCAGAGGGAAAGGCAATGGGAGGAGGAGAGGGGAAAGTCAGTGTTTATTTATGGACTTCAGGAGAGTGAGGGAAGGATACACAATGAAAGATGGCAGGAAGGAAAACAGGAGATTGAAAACATAATCAAAGAAATAAGTGAGGAGGACATGACTGTGATAGTAAATTTTCAGAGCAGAGGCACTTGTGGGAGACTTTGGGGTTGGGTCAAGCTGATTTTCAAGATAGAAACATTGCAAAAACTGGATCCTGCAAGAGAAACCATGCTGAAGGAAAACCCTCAACATTCAAGAGGGGGTTCCTAGACCATGACAGAACAAAACAATGCGACAGCATTGTAATAAAGTTGGTAGAATTACCGACAATATGTAAAGTAAAAGGACACAAGTGCAAACTAATGTGACATTTTATTGTGGCAAAAGTTTTGCTCTCAAGCTTAGCTTGATAAAGCTCCTGGAGAGCGAAACGTTGCTACAATAAATGTCACATTAGTTGCACTTGTGTCCTTTTACTTTGCAATACGACAGCAGCTGAAGCATGAGGTAGGAAGAGAGACAAGAACAGAATCAGCAGAGGACAACCAGAGCATGGCAGAACAACAAGCGCTAGCACACACAGAAACACCCCCCAGAACCCCACAACCTAACATGCTTACATCCACATTTACACCCCCCACCCCCCACTATGGTTTTAGAATCCCACAGCACACTGCCAGGTCCCCCACCCCTCACAGATCCACAGAAACACAGTGTTGGAGAGGAAAAGAAGGTATGGCACACCAGTGCTGATGGATTAACGAATAAGTAGAAAAGTGGCATGAAAGATGCAAGGAGGCATCACCCAACATCATAGCTCTCACAGAAATCAAGTTCATGGGAATGATAACAGATGCCATCTTCCAACAGGATATCAGATCCTGAAGAAAACAGCGGTAACAGAGGGGGTGGAGGAGTGGCACTGCTTATCAAAAACCAATGGGGGTTTTTGATGAACTGGAGAGAAGAGACAGAGGAGAAGCAAGAGATTACATAATAGGAACACTTCAGTCTGGGGGTCCCAAGGTGGGAAATTTCAGTGATGTATAACCCCACAGAGCAGCAGGGGCCAAGGCAAGAGTATGATGAGAGCATAGTGTGATGCTTGACACACTGGCTGAAGTAGCTGGAAGGGCTCACACAAACAGGGGAAAGCTGCTGATTGTGGGTGACTTCAATCAAAAAGAAATTGACTGGGAGTAACCTGGAGCCACATGGGGGCCCAGAAACGAGGAGGGCCTTTTGATGAAAGGAGGTGGTAAAAGGAAAATCTCGTGTACAACACATAAGAGAGGAGAGGAGAGGACAAAAACCCGCAAGACTGGACCTAGCATTCTCCTTCAGAAGTGCATATATTGAGGAATCACATATGAAAGACCCCTCGGGGCCCGTGACCACATGGTTCTGAGATTCAAAAACATAGTAGAGTTACAAGTGGAGAGGGGAAACAGGAAAGACAGGACAAATCAAGCCAGACTACAGAGAGGGACTACAGAGGTATGAAGAATTTTCCCGCACAAGGTGCAGTGGGACAGGGCACTGGCAGGGAAGTCAGTAAATGAGATGGAATATTTTACACAATATGCAAAGGGAAACTGAGTAGCGATGTGTACCCAAGGGTAACAGAAATAACGAAAGGCCAGGATGAGCCCTTTGGTTCACTCAAAGGTGTAGAGAGGCCAAAAAACCCAAATGTGCTAGAGAATGGGAAAGAAATATAGAAGGCAAAGAACCCGGAGAACAAGGAGAGCAGTTGTAGAGCCAGAAACGAATATGCACAGTTAAGAAAGGAGGCCCAACAAAAAATACGAAAATTATATAGCAGAAAAGCCTGACCGGAAGCTGTTGTACGCACATCAGGAGGAAAACAATGGTCAATGACCCGCTAATCAGGGTGGGAGGAAGGAGGGGAGATCACAAGAAATGACCGAGAAGTATGTGAACAGCTCAAAATGAGACTCAAAGAAGTGTTCACAAAGGAGACAGAAAGAACCCCAGAAAGATGGAGAGGTGGGGTCCACCATCAAGTGTTAGACACAGTACATACAACCGAGGAAGAAGTAAAGAGGCTCCTAAGGGAAGCTAGATAAACCCAAAAGGCGGGTGAGGGGTGTTAACGTGTCTCCATGGGTCCAAGAGAGGGAGCAGAGGGCTATGCATGCCGCTAAAAAACAATCTTCAACACATCTATCAACACAGAGCGACTACCTGAGGTATGGAAGACAGTAAATGTAGTCTCAATTTTTAGAAAA